TCTACAGCAAATCGCGTGACAGAAATGGTCGGGCCGCAGGCCCGACCATCGCCGCCGGCAGGCCAAGCAGGCCCGGCCCCTGCCGAACGAAGTTGCCGGCGCAGCGAAGCGAAGCTGGCAACTTCGTTTGGCGGAAGGGCGGGCCTGCTTGTTTTTGGCTCGCTTCGCTCGCGACTGCTTCTTTTAACTGACTTTGGAGAATCACAAGCATCTTACAAGTCTCCTTCATCATTTTGAAAAACGGGTGTTTGTTCTTTCAAATATTGGCAAACTTGTTATTAACTTCCCCTGTAAGTTAGGCAACCAACACGACACATTCAGAAAAATGCCCCCCCTATAACCTTTCGCTGGATCCGCGCCTGTAGCCTGCGAAGTTTCGCGAGTGTCCGATGAGAAGGAACGAAAGTGATATTTGGAAAGGTTTACGTGTTTACTTACGTAAGTTGGAGGGGGCGGGGGTAGTGGTGGGAGAATTGTGAAAAGGTAACTATGGTTTCGGGTTCATCTTGACAAAAAAAGACGAAAATGTGTTATGCTCCAAGACGATCGGAATAGGGTGTTCCAGGCAATCCAAAACGGAAGTAGGAAAAGAACAAACTCACTGACCCTTCTGTTTCCGTAATGGCTCTGATTGGTCGAGCTAATCACGTGCCTCCGCGGCCTTTCAGGTATGAGAAACTGTCAGATCAGTTTCGAGCTCCCCTCCATATTTGAGAGGTAAGAATCGGACCTAACTACCACGGTAGTTTCTCATACTGGGCGGACGGAAACAGATAAATCAGTGAGTTTGTTCTTTTTCACTTCCGTTTTAGATAGCCTGGAACACCCTATTGAAATGGCAGAGTTATGTTCAAATGTTCAATAAAGTGTTCAATCGCCCCTAGCGGCCAAACGGTGCGTCGGAGGTCAATTCTGACGGCAGTTTTCGTCTTATAACCGAAGGGGAGGAGGATCGTATCTCGCCGAGATGAACAAAACGCATCCCTCGTACGTTCAATTTGAACCGATTTGGCCATGGCAATCCGCACATCGTAATTTGAGGGCTAATAACTTCTCCATTTCGACTCAGATCGGCTCTGAGCATAAGACATTTCCTTTTTAATTTCACAAGAGGAATCTTAATCTGGGATAACATTTTTAATTTGATGACTTTTTAAAAATCCAGATACTTCATTGGAAGACAAAATAAAGGTATTCACTCGTAGAATGACTAGAAGTCATTTCATCGTACAAAAAGACATCTTGAAGGTTACTTAAACTTACAACTTATTGGCTGAGCGATTAGAGAAGCCTATTACTCCGTCTGGTCGGAAAAAACTTTTTCTGTCTGTCTGTCTGTGTCTCTGTGTGTGTCTGTCTGTCCGCACGATAACTCGAGAACGAATTGAGTGAGCGACCTGGGATTGTCAGGGCCGTTTTGTGTCATAAAAAGACAGATCGAGTTCGAAGATGAGCATTCTAGCTCAAAAATTGGATTTAAAAAAAAAAACAAAAAAAAACACAGGTCCCAAAAATGACTGTTTTTAAAAATATTTTTTTCTGGTTTCCTAGGGGGTAAGTCATCAAAGTAGAGCCCTCTGGGCGAAAATTTTGTCCGTTTTGCGCTAGCTCCAACCAATTAGACGCTAGAGGGTATTTTTGACAAAAATAAGCGAAAAAATGTACAACCATGCATGCTTAGTCTAAGTGACGGGGTTGACGGGCCGGAGGCCCGAGTCTTTGAGTACATTTTTGCTCTACCCGACTCGGGCGTCAGCGCCGCAGGCCATGGTAGATGTATGCCAGGCGCGTCGCAGCGTAACAGTGTTTCGTGAGAT